CCTGCAAGGAAACACGTGCCGTCATCATTGCTTTGCACAAAAAGGGTTTCACAGGCAAGGATATTGCTGCTAGTAAGATTGCACCTAAATCAACCATTTATCGGATCATCAAGAACTTCAAGGAGAGAGGTTCAATTGTTGTGAAGAAGGCTTGTGAAGAAAGTCCAGCAAGCGCCAGGACCGTCTCCTAAAGTTGATTCAGCTGCGGGATCGGGGCACCACCAGTGCAGAGCTTGCTCAGGAATGGCAGCAGGCAGGTGTGAGTGCATCTGCACGCACAGTGAGGCAAATACTTTTGGAGGATGGCCTGGTGTCAAGAAGGGCAGGAAGCCACTTATCTCCAGGAAAAACATCAGGGACAGACTGATATTCTGCAAAAGGTACAGGGATTGGACTGCTGAGGACTGGGGTAAAGTCATTTTCTCTGATGAATCCCCTTTCCGATTGTTTGGAACATCCGGAAAAAAGCTTGTCCGGAGAAGACAAGGTGAGCGCTACCATCAGTCCTGTGTCATGCCAACAGTAAAACATCCTGAGACCATTCATGTGTAGGGTTGCTTTTCAGCCAAGGGAGTGGGCTCACTCACAATTTTGCCTAAGAACACAGCCATGAATAAAGAATGGTACCAACACATCCTCTGAGAGCAACTTCTCCCAACCATCCAATAACAGTTTGTTGATGACCAATGCCTTTTCCAGCATGATGGAGCACCTTGCCATAAGACAAAAGTGATAACTAAGTGGCTCGGGGAACCAAACATCGACATTTTGGGTCCATGGCCAGGAAACTCCCCAGACCTTAATCCCATTGAAAACTTGTGGTCGATCCTCAAGAGGCGTGTGGACAAACAAAAACCCACAAATTCTGACAAACTCCGAGCATTGATTATGCAAGAATGGGCTGCCATCAGTCAGGATGTGGCCCAGAAGTTAATTGACAGCATGCCAGGGCGGATTGCAGAGGTCTTGAAAAATAAGGGTCAACACTGCAAATATTGACTCTTTGCATAAACTTAATGTAATTGTCAATAAAAGCCTTTGACACTTATGGAATGCTTGTAATTATACTTCAGTATACCATAGTAACATCTGACAAAAATATCTCATAACACTGAAGCAGCGAACTTTGTGAAGACTTGTGTCATTCTCAAAACTTTTGACCACGACTGTACTGTCTATTTACTTTCTCTTCTTCTGAAACGACCTTGACCGCTCGTTAGTTGGACACACAAGTAAGCATGAAAGATCAAAGCAGGATTATTGGTATTTGTTGTGACAAGTGGATTAGATTAGATGATGATGACAGCTCAGTAGAAGCGTAATCTCCTCCTTCCCTGCGTAGATGAACCATGTTAGTCAAGACTATTGTTTGAAAGTACTGTAAATACAGCATACACACTGAATGATCAAGGCAGGGGCAGAGATATGTTGTCTTTGTTATTAAATGCTATTGTCATAATAATTTAAATCTACTTTGGGCTGTTCAGATGGTCATGAGAAATTCATTAGACTAATATAATTACTACTATAGACTACGATAGACTAATGTAATCAAATAAATAGATAGCAGCACATCATTTAATTACAAAATATAATGTTATAATACAAATGTTAGAGGACACACAGATGACTCTGCATTCCTTTTGTTGTAAGTCCTAGATCTGCCACAGTCTTGTCTGCAAACTGCTAGTCAACAAGTAGTAAGAATTAAACTATCAGCTTGCTGGAGCAACATCATCTCATCCACCGATGGCCTACTTGATTCTCTTGCATTGTGGGAGATATTGTTTTTAGAATCACTGATCTGTCAGTTTACACTGAGTCTACAAAACTTTAGGAACACCTTCCTAATATTTGATTGCACCCCATTTTGCCTTCAGAACAGCCTCAATTCGTCGGGGCATGGACTACAACGTGTCGAAAGCGTTCCACAGAGATGCTGGCCCATGTTGACTCCAATGCTTCCCACAGTTGTGTCAAGTTGGCTGGATGTCCTTTGGGTGGTGGACCATTGTTGATACACACGGGAAACTGTTGAGCGTGAAAAACCCAGCAGTGTTGCAGTTCTTGACACACACAAACCGGTGCGCCTGGCACCTACTACCATACCCAGTTCAAAGGCACTTAAATCTGTTGTCTTGCCCATTCACCCTCTGAATGGCACACATACACAATCCATGTCTCAATTGTCTCAAGGCTTAGAAGTCCTTCTTTAACCTGTCTCCTCCCCTTCATCTACACTGATTGAAGTGGATTTAACAAGTGTCATCAATAAGGGATCATAGCTTTCACCTGGATTCACCTGGTCAGTCTATGTCATGGAAAGAGCAGGTGTTCTTAATGTTTTGCACACTGAGTCTAGTTTATGCCTGCCGGGATGGCAGCATTAATGATTCCCTGGTACCATTAGAGCTGCATGTTAATCTGCAACTTGCATATATGAAAAGGCCTTAGTGCGTAAACTTCCAACCAACAGTTGAACTCCCAAGATAAGGATCATGTCTGTGTCACTGCCTTTCCCATGACAACTCTATCCTCCTGATTCCTGCTTATAAGCAAAAACTAAAGCAGGAAGCACCAGTGACTTGGTTAATAAAAAAGTGGTCAGATGACGCAGATGCTAAACTACAGGACTGTTTTGCTAGCACAGACTGGAACATGTTCCGGGATTCTTCAGACAGCATTGAGGAGTACACCACATCAGTCACTGGCTTCATCAATAAGTGCATTGATGATGTCGTCCCCACAGTGACCGTACGTACATACCCCAACCAAGAAGCCATGGATTACAGGAAACATCCGCACTGAGCTAAAGGGTAGAGCTGCCGCTTTCAAGGAACGGGACTTTAACCCGGACGCTTATAAGAAATCCCGCTATGACCTCCGACGAACCATCAAACAGGCAAAGAGTCAATACAGGACTAAGATTGAATCGTACTACACTGGCTCTGACGCTCGTCGGATGTGGCAGGGCTTGAAAACTATTACAGACTACAAAGGGAAGTACAGCCGCGAGCTGCCCAGTGACACAAGCCTACCAGACGAGCTAAACCACTTCTATGCTCGCTTCGAGGCAAGCAACACTGAAGCATGCATGAGAGCACCAGCTGTTCCGGATGACTATGTGATCACGCTCTCCGTAGCCGATGTGAGTAAGACTTTTAAGCAGGTCAACATTCACAAGGCCGCAGGGCCAGACGGATTACCAGGACGTGTACTCCGAGCATGTGCTGACCAACTGGCAAGTGTCTTCACTGGCATTTTCAACATGTCCCTGACTGAGTCTGTAATACCAACATGTTTCAAGCAGACCACCATAGTCCCCGTGCCCAAGGACTCTAAGATAACCTGCCTAAATGACTACCGACCCGTAGCACTGACGTCTGTAGCCATGAAGTGCTTTGAAAGGCTGGTCATGGCTCACATCAACAGCATTATCCCAGAAACTCTAGACCCACTCCAGTTTGCATACCGCCTCAACAGATCCACAGATGATGCAATCTATATTGCACTCCACACTGCCCTTTCCCACCTGGACAAGAGGAACACCTACGTGAGAATGCTATTCATTGACTACGGCTCAGCATTCAACACCATAGTGCCCTTTAAGCTCATCACTAAGCTAAGGATCCTGGGACTAAACACCTCCCTCTGCAACTGGATCCTGGACTTCCTGACGGGCCGCCCCCAGGTGGTAAGGGTAGGTAACACCACATCTGCCACACTGATCCTCAACACGGGGGCCCCTCAGGGGTGCGTGCTCAGTCCCCTCCTGTACTCTCTGTTCACCCATGACTGCATGGCCAGGCACGACTCCAACACCATCATTAAGTTTGCCGACGACACAACAGTGGTAGGCCTGATCACCGACAACGATGAGACAGCCTATAGGGAGGAGGTCAGAGACCTGGTCGTGTGGTGCCAGGACAACAACCTCTCCCTCAACATGACCAAGACAAAGGAGATGATTGTGGACTACAGGAAAAAAAAGAGGACTGAGCACGCCCCCATTCTCATCGACGGGGCTGTAGTGGAACAGGTTGAGAGCTTCAAGTTCCTTGGTGTCCACATCACCAACGAACTATCATGGTCCAAACACACCAAGACAGTCGTGAAGAGGGCACGACAAAGCCTATTCCCCCTCAGGAGACTGAAAAGATGTGGCATGGGTCCTCAGATCCTCAAATTCTACAGCTGCACCATCGAGAGCATCCTGACTGGTTGCATCACCGCCTGGTATGGCAACTGCTTGGCCTCCGACCGCAAGGCACTACAGAGGGTAGTGTGTACGGCCCAGTACATCACTGGGGCCAAGCTTCCTGCCATCCAGGACCTCTATACCAGGCGGTGTCAGAGGAAGGCCCTCAAAATTGTCAAAGACTCCAGCCACCCTAGTCATAGACTGTTCTCTCTGCTACCGCACGGCAAGCGGTACCGGAGTGCCAAGTCTAGGTCCAAAAGACTTCTCAACAGCTTCTACCGCCAAGCCATAAGACTCCTGAACAGCTAATCATGGCTACCCGGACTATTTGCACTGCCCCCCCACCCCATCCTTTTTACGCTGCTGCTACTCTGTTAATTATTTATGCATAGTCACTTTAACTCTACCCACATGTACATATTACCTCAACTAGCCGGTGCCCCCGCACATTGACTCTGCACCGGTACCCCCCTGTATATATAGCCTCCCTACCGTTACTTTATTTTACTTCTGCTCTTTTTTTTCTCAACACTTTTTTTGTTGTTGTTTTATTTTTACTTTTTCTTTTGTTAAAAATAAATGCACTGTTGGTTAAGGGCTGTAAGTAAGCATTTCACTGTAATGTCTGCACCTGTTGTATTCGGCGCATGTGACCAATAAAATTTGATTTGATTTGATTTGACAATGAGACTTCCCTTCTGAAATGTAGGATTATTTAAAGGAAAGAAATATGACGTGTGTGTCTACACACTGCTTTTCTGTGAACTGTGGTGACTGGGTGCTCTGTGTTCCTGTAGGGATGGAGTTCCCTGTTGACGGCCTGGTCAGCGTGAGCCAAGAGAACCTGGAGAGATCAGCCCAGGACTACATGAACAGCCTCCTCCACAGCACCCCTGACTCACCCCAACACCTCACCCTCGCAAACAACACACAGGTAAATAAATCCTCACTCTTCCACACTCTACATAGGTAAATAAACCCTCACTCTGCCACATTCTACACAGGTAAATACACCCTCACTCTGCCTCACTCTACACAGGTAAAATAAATAATAACCCTGCCATACTCTACATAGGTAAATAAAACCTGACTCTGCCACATTCTACACAGGTAAATAAGCCCTCACTCTGCCACACTGTACACAGGTAAAAAAAATAAAAATAAAAAAAATGGTCTGATTAAACAAAATTTGAACTGTTTGGCCATAATGACCATCGTTATGTTTGGAGGAAAAAGGGGGACGTTTGCAAGCTGAAGAACACCACCCCAACCGTAAAGCATGGGGGTGGCAGCATCATGCTGTGGGGGTGCTTTGCTGAAGGAGGGACTGGTGCACTTCACAAAATAGATGGCATCATGAGGAAGGAAAATGATGTGGATATATTGAAGCAACATCTCAAGACATCAGTCAGGAAGTTAAAGCTTGGTCGCAAATGGGTCTTCCAAATGGACAATGACCCCAAGCATACTTCCAAAGTTGTGGCAAAATGGCTTAAGGACAACAAAGTCAAGGTATTGGAGTGGCCATCACAAAGCCCTGACCTCAATCCTATAGAAAATGTATGTGCAGAACTGAAAAAGCGTGTGCGAGCAAGGAGGTCTATAAACCTGACTCAGTTACACCATCTCTGTCAGGAGGAATGGGCCAAAATTCACCCAACTTATTGTGGGAAGCTTGTGGAAGGCTACCCGAAACGTTTGACCCAAGTTAAACAATTTAAAGGCAATGCTACCAAATACTAATTGAGTGTATGTAAACTTCTGACCCACTGGGAATGTGATGAAAGAAATAAAAGCTGAAATAAAAAATTCTCTCTACTATTATTCTGACATTTCACATTCTTAAAATAAAGTGGTGATCCTAACTGACCTAAGACAGGGAATTTGTACTAGGATTAAATGTCAGGAATTGTGAAAAACTGAGTTTAAATGTTTTTGGCTAAGGTATATGTAAACTTCCGACTTCAACTGTAAATAAACCCTCACTCTGCACAGGTAAATAAACCCTGTCTCTGCCACATTCTACACAGGTAAATAAACCCTCACTCTGCCACACTCCACACAGGTAATTAAACCCTCATTCTGCCACACTCTACACAGGTAAATACATCCTCACTCTGCCACACTCTACACAGGTAAATAAAACCTCACTCTACACAGGTAAATAAACCCTCACTCTGCCATACTCCACACAGGTAAATAAACCCTCACTCTGCTACGCCCTACACAGGTAAATAAACACTCACCCTGTCACACTCTACACAGGTAAATAAACCCTAACTCTTCCACACTCTACACAGGTAAATAAACCCTCACTGCCACACTCTACACAGGTAAATAAACCCTCACTCTGCCAAACTGTACACAGGTAAATACATCCTCACTCTGCCTCACTCTACACAGCTAAATAAACCCTCACTCTACACAAGTAAATAACCCTGACTCTGCCACATTCTACACTGTTAAAAACACCCTCACTTTGCCACACTCTACACAGGTAAAACAAATAATCATGCAGACACACTCTACACAGGTAAATAAACCCTCACTCTGCCATACTCTACACAGGTAAATAAACCCTCACTCTGCCACACTCTACACAGGTTAATAAACCTTAAATCTGCCACACTCTACACAGGTAAATAAATCCTCACTTTACACAGGTAAATAAACCCTGACTCTGCCACACTGTACACAGGTTTAAAAATAAACTCACTCTGCAACATTCTACACAGGTAAATAAACCCTCACTCTGCCACAGTCTACACAGGTAAATAAACCCTCACTCTGTCACACTCTACACAGGTAAAGAAAACATCACTCTGTCAAACTCTACACAGGTAAATAAATCCTCACTTTACACAGGTAAATAAACCCTGACTCTGCCACACTGTACACAGGTTTAAAAATAAACTCACTCTGCAACATTCTACACAGGTAAATAAACCCTCACTCTGCCACAGTCTACACAGGTAAATAAACCCTCACTCTGTCACACTCTACACAGGTAAAGAAAACATCACTCTGTCAAACTCTACACAGGTAAATAAACCCTCACTCTGACACACTCTAAACAGGTAAATAAATCCTCACTCTACACAGGTAAATAAAGCCTCACTCTGCCACACTCTACACAGTTAAATTAACCCTCACTCTGACACACTCTACACAGGAAAATAAACTCACTCTGACACACTCTACACAGGTAAATAAACCCTCACTCTGCCACACTCTACACAGGTAAAAAAATCCTCACTCTACACAGGTAAATAAACCCTCACTCTGCCACACTCTACACAGGTAAATAAACCCTCAGTCTGCCACAGTCTACACAGGTAAATAAACCCTCACTCTGCCACACTCTACACAGGTAAATATACCTTAACGCTACACAGGTAAATAGACCCTGTCTCTGCCACATTTTACAAAAGTAAATAGACCTTTACTCTGCCACACTCCACACAGGTAAATAAATCCTCACCCTGCCACACTCTACACAGGTAAATAAACCCTCAATCTACACAGGTAAATAACCCGGACTCTGCCACATTCTACACAGGTAAATACACCCTCACTCTGCCACACTCTACACAGGTAAATAAACCCTCACTCTGTCACACTCTACACAGGTAAATAAACCCTCACTCTTCCACACTCTACACAGGTAAATAAACCCTCACTCTGCACAGGTAAATAAACCCTGTCTCTGCCACATTCTACACAGGTAAATAAACCCTCACTCTGCCACAATCTACACAGGTAAATAAACCCTCACTCTGCCACACTCTGCACAGGTAAATAAACCCTCACTCTGACACACTCTACACAGGTAAATAAACCCTTGCTCTGCCACACTCTACACAGGTAAATAAATCCTCACCCTGCCACACTCTACACAGGTAAATAAACCCTCGCTCTGCCACACTCTACACAGGTAAATAAATCCTCACTCTGCCACACTCTACACAGGTAAATAAATCCTCACTCTTCCACACTCTACACAGGTAAATATACCCTTACGCTACACAGGTAAATAAACCCTGTCTCTGCCACATTTTACAAAGGTAAATAGACCTTCACTCTGCCACACTCTACACAGGTAAATAAACCCTCACTCTACACAGGTAAATAACCCGGACTCTGCCACATTCTACACAGGTCAATTAACCCTCACTCTGCCACATTTTACAAAGGTAAATACAGTGATCCCTCGCCACTTCGCGGTTCACTTATCGCGGATTCGCTATTTCGCGGATTTTCATAATGCATTTTTTTTTTTTTGGTGCATTGTGCTCTGCATTCTGATTCGCTAAAAACTCACTCCCGCTTCTTGTATCAAAACATGCTACGAATTGTGCTATCATTTTGTCGTCTCGTGCAGTTATGTGTACGTACATAAAACAGCTTGGCAAATTTACATTAAGTTGGCCAAATTATCTTGTAATTTCGAACATCTCCTAAACCCATAATGTCGACGAAACGGCCTGGACCGACAAAAGCACCTGCGGATGGGCCCAAACGGCGGAAGATGCTACCTATCTCAGATAAAGTTAAACTTCTGGACATGCTAAGGGAAGGTAAAAGCTATGCAGCCGTTGCTCGCCATTACGGAATCAATGAATCTTCCGTTCGTTACATAAAGAAGGAGGAAAAAAACATAAGGACGACAGCAGCAGTCAATTTTAATACGAATGCAAAAAGGGTTGTAACTGTCCGCAACAAGACCATGGTACGGATGGAGACGGCATTAGCTCTGTGGATTAATGACTTCAGGAAAAAAAACATAACCCTGGATACAAACGTTATCTGCACAAAAGCGAGAATGCTGTATGAAAACTTTGCTGTCAGTGACGGGGAAGAGGGAGAGGATGCCGGGCCCTCAGCAAGTGCTGCTGACACAGTGGGAGAGGATGCCAGGCCCCCAGCAAGTGCTGCTGACAAAGTGCCAAGCGCATTTAATGCAAGCAAGGGCTGGTTTGAAAAGTTTAAGAAACGCTTTGGACTTAAAAATGTTTGTCTGCACGGTGAGATGGCGTCTGCGGATACCGCTGAGGCAGAAGCCTTCGTGAACAATAAATTCAAGGCGATCATTGAGGAGGGGGGATATAAGCCCCAACAAGTTTTTAACATGGATGAGACTGCCTTATTTTGGAAACGAATGCCCTCCCGCACCTTCATCATGCAGGAAGAAGCCAAAGCCCCAGGATTTAAAGTTCACAAAGACCGTTTGACCCTGGCTATGTGCGACGATGAAAGAGAAGAGGGAGAAGAGGACACGAGAGATGAGGAGGAAGGACTAACGCTTGGTCGCTTAGCAACCATGGTGCGAATGGCCACTGAACTTAAGCGAGTAGCTGAGGAATGGGACCCTTTGATGAGCCGTTCATTACAGTTCTCCAACGTAATCGATGGTGGCATGTCGGTGTACAAGGATCTTTTTGCAAAGAAGAAAAAAGAGCGACAACAGCTGCCTATCACTATGTTCTTCTCCCGAACAAACACACCTGCACCGCGGGCTTCAGAAGAAGAGAACACTGCAGAGCGCAGTCAGGATGCAGCGGCCCAGTCTGAAGAGCAGTGAAACGGCCTACACGTGAGTCACTGTATTTGTATACATGTAATAGTTGCTAATTGTAAAAAAAAAAAGTTTTCTATTTCGCGGATTTCACTTATCGCGGGTCATTTTCGGAACGTAACCCCCGCGATAAACGAGGGATTACTGTACATCCTCACCCTGCCACACTCTACACAGGTAAATAAACCCTCACTCTACACAGGTAAATAACCCGGACTCTGCCACATTCTACACAGGTCAATTAACCCTCACTCTGCCACATTTTACAAAGGTAAATACATCCTCACCCTGCCACATTCTACACAGGTAAATTAACCCTCACTCTGCCACACTCTACACAGGTAAATAAACCCTCACTCTGTCACACTCTACACAGGTAAATACATCCTCATTCTTCCACACTCTGCACAGGAAAATAAAACCTCACTCTACACAGGTAAATATACCCTCACTCTGCCACACTCCACAAAGGTAAATACATCTTCACTCTGCCAAACTACACAGGTAAATAAACCTCACTCTACACAGGTAAATAACCCTGACTCTGCCACATTCTACACTGTTAAATACACCCTCACTCTGCCACACTCTACACAGGTTTTTTTTTTTATCATGCAGCCACACTCTACACAGGTAAATAAACCCTCACTCTGCCATACTCTACACAGGTAAATAAACCCTCACTCTGCTACGCTCTACACAGATAAATAAACCCTCACTCTCCCACACTCAACACAGGTAATAAACTCTCACTCTGCCACACTCTACACAGGTAAATAAACCATCACCCTGCCACACTCTACACAGGTAAAATAACTGTGAAGAGTTTGACACGTGTTAAAGTTAAATCTAGCTAGCTAACAATTCCACAGCCACAACAAAGTGATGTGCTGTAGGTGAGAAGCTTGGATCCAGTGCTGCACAACTTCTCCTCGTGGCTATGTCGTCTTGAAACCAGGGGAAACCAGCTGCAGACAGTCAGGGGCAGGTGTTGCTCTGTGGTCTGGCAAAAATAATATGATATAATTCATATAATTTGAAATAATCAGTCACATTGATGCTGTAAGCTAATGGTTGAACTTTGACCTTGTTCTCCTGTCCTCTCCCAGGTGCCCATTGGTCTTTCCAATGTGGGTTTCGTTCCTCTATATGGTGCCAACATGAGACAGAAAGTCCTTGCCCTGTTCTCCCAACAGGACCAGTTTACAGGTGACTGAGTGACTCACACTGTCTGATGAGGACAATGTTGATGGTGTTGACACAAAATGGAGACGGCTCCTGGGTAACTGGGCTAGTTTAGTTTGAACCATGGTTTGTTCAAATCTTCCCTCCTACCAAAGAATTGTTGTAATGCCCCAGTCTGTGTTTTGTGTCTTCAGGAACAACATGCCTTATATATACAGCCAGGTCCAAAATTATTGGCACCCTTGATAAATAAATTGGAGCAAAAATACTGAGCAAAATAGCCCCATAACATCAAAGATCCACCACCATATTTTACAGTAGGTATGGAGTTATTTTATGCTTATCACATCCTACTGTCAACGCCAAATCCACCACTGGTGTGGGTGGCAAAAGAGCTCTATATTCATGTCATCCAACAAATGTAAACACCTGGGGTTTGCTAAATGGCATTGGCAATTGGATTGGAACCAGTGCTATGGTCAGATTACATGAAAATAGAGCTCTTTGGCCACGCACACCAGCGGTGGGTTTCACGTCAAAAGAAAGATGCATATGCAGAAAATAACCACATACCTACTGTAAAATATGGTGGTGGATCTTTGATGTTATGGAGATATTTTGCTTCCACTGGTCCTGGGGCCCTTGTTAAGGTGAAAGGCATGATGTACTTTTCCAGAATATTTTAGCCAAAAACCTGGGTGCCTCTGCCAGCAAGTGGATCTTCCAGCAAGACAATAACCCCAAGCATACATCAAAATCCACAAATAAATTATTAATTGACCACAAAATCTACATTTGGCCATCTCAGTCTCCGGACTTGAAAGCCATTGAAAACCTATGGTTTGATTTGAAGATGGCACATCCATAAGCGCAGACGAAGGATATCAAGGATCTGGAAAGATTCTGTATGGAGGAATGGTCTAAGATCCCTCCCAATGTGTTCTCCAATCTCATAAAACATTTAAGAAAAAGGCTCCTTGCAAGGTGAGGTATTGAAAGGTATTGAAAACAGTGGTGGCAATAAAACTGACCCTTATCTTTTTAAGAGAAAAAAAATTAACTTGTTAAACCAAATCTATTTTTCTGAGCAATTGCGTTAGGACAAAATATTATAATTTTCTATTATTTATTTTTTTGCATATAATATAGCTCAGTATTTGTATAATTTATTTTAACAGACTTTTTTGCTCATCTTTATCAAGGGTGCCAATAATTGTGGACCTGACTGTATTTACCAAATGTAATAGTTAAGAAACTATGTTATAATGTTTAAAAGAGGTTTATATATAGTTGATATGTTGTATTTATCTACTGTTTTTGTGTATTTCCTCTCAGCGGTGGGGCTGTACCTGTTGGATCGATGGTGGTCACTGGAGAACATCTTAAAAACAGCCGACTCGACCAGAGATGGAGCTGTGGAGGTATGATCAGTTGTCTCTCCTTTGAAAACAAAATGACTGTTATTTGTTGGAACTAGACCACAATGGTTGTATAGAGATACAAAATAGCACGTGCATCAATACTCACTATTCGTTGTAAAAGTTATTATATAGTTATAACAAAATTAAATAGTTGGAAAATAAAGACGCAACCGAAGATAAGCGAAAGATACAATTTTGTGGGTTTATTTGATCATATCTTACTGGAGAATATGACAGTATGTGTCAGTGAATTAAATGAGACACTTTAGCGGTGCTGACATGGTTGTGTGTTTGTCTTCAGGTGGAGACCATAGGGGAGCGGATCGTTCTGTATGTTTTGAACCGTGTGGTGTACAGAGCCAAGGAGATTAGTTCTGGCGAACTACCTTTCCTCTGCCACGGAGAGAACGACTACGCCAAGATCCTTTGGAAAGACGGACAGGCAGTCGGCTTCTACTCAGTCAAACCTGCAGGTAAGAAACAGCTTTTATTGTTGTGAGTAACTAACCATTATCCACCTCCACTAAGTAGCACCTTTTTGGGTGATGCATGGCGGCCATCTTAGGCTAGAATCCTCATCACATATGAGTTATTGCGTGGTAGAGCTGAGGTTATGTGCTTTAAGTGTTAGTTACGGTGCTGTTAAATAAACTATCGGTGACCATTAATAATGAATTATTTAGATACTGAAGAGCATATGTGTGCATTGTATAACACAGATGGTGCTTAACTCACAAAGCCAATTTTCACTTCTCATAGATGTTTCTATGTATGTACTGTATGCAGGGATGTAGTGTTGTCGTAGCCCGCAGGCGCGGTGCACCCTAAATGTTTTCAATTTGAGAATACACGGAGCTGGTAAAAATATTTCAGGGAAATGTATTCTGATAAATTCTAAATAAATTATATTTAATTACTACTCAAATTCCATGAAAACGATAGAATGACATACTAAATAAATATCTAGGCTATAGCAGCCTATAAGTAGGTTTCTAAAACATCTGTCTTCAAAACAGTTTGTTATGGACTTAGGGATAATGTAGACTATGACGCACTTGAACTCACCCTACTGTCCGAGTGCTTAGCTTACAGAAACGTACCACCTCTACTGTGTATGCAGACAAACTGATCCACTGCATGAACCTCATCATCACACCAATGAGATCTAGAATCCAAATTCACTGTGTCTGCCTTGATGTTCATAAAACTCCATGGACCCCCTCTTGTGCAGTGGAACCCAGAACGATATGTGACCACTTGGTTACGGCGCTGTCCTTTCACCTCCACGATTCAAAGGTCGCTCAAATCACTTAAAATAACCCTAATCAAGATCTGTTGCCTACGGCTAATAGTCATACTCATCACTTATTATTATTATTATTATTATAAATAGAAGATTATCACTTCTCACAATGGTGCTCGTTTAGTAAAGTTAGGTCAAAGCTGAATCAATATTTTACATTTTAGTCATTTAGCAGACGCTCTTATCCAGAGCGACTTACATGAGCAATTAGGGTTAAGTGCCTTGCTTAAGGGCACATCGACAGATTTTTCACCTAGTCGGCTCGGGGATTAGAACCAGAGACCTTTCGGTTACTGGCACAACGCTCTTACCCACTAAGCTACCTGCCGTCCAATAGCTCGCAAGATCAAATAATGATTCATTAGTTGGCCTATTTTCCATAACAGAAGCACATATAATAGTAGGCTACAGTATAACATGTTACACCAAAAAACACCTCCTCGGTCATTTCTTATCTGAAGCTGAATAGTCCCCCAAAAAATCCTCATGTGGCCAAAACTCAATAGCATGAGCCACTAAGCAGGATATAGGCCTAAGTTTTGATTGAAACTAACACCATCTGCTTTAATTTATGCATAGTCACTTTAACTCTACCCACATGTACATATTACCTCAACTACCTCAACTAGCCGGTGCCCCCGCACATTGACTCTGCAACGGTACCCCCCTGTATATATACAGTGGGGAAAAAAGGTATTTAGTCAGCCACCAATTGTGCAAGTTCTCCCACTTAAAAAGATGAGAGAGGCCTGTAATTTTCATCATAGGTACACGTCAACTATGACAGACAAATTGAGAAAAAAAAATCCAGAAAATCCCATTGTAGGATTTTTAATGAATTTATTTGCAAATTATGGTGGAAAATAAGTATTTGGTCACCTACAAACAAGCAAGATTTCTGGCTCTCACAGACCTGTAACTTCTTCTTTAAGAGGCTCCTCTGTCCTCCACTCGTTACCTGTATTAATGGCACCTGTTTGAACTTGTTATCAGTATAAAAGACACCTGTCCACAACCTCAAACAGTCACACTCCAAACTCCACAATGGCCAAGACCAAAGAGCTGTCAAAGGACACCAAAAACAAAATTGTAGACCTGCACCAGGCTGGGAAGACTGAATCTGCAATAGGTAAGCAGCTTGGTTTGAAGAAATTAACTGTGGGAGCAATTATTAGGAAATGGAAGACATACAAGACCACTGATAATCTCCCTCGATCTGGGGCTCCACGCAAGATCTCACCCCGTGGGGTCAAAATGATCACAAGAACGGTGAGCAAAAATCCCAGAACCACACGGGGGGACCTAGTGAATGACCTGCAGAGAGCTGGGACCAAAGTAACAAAGCCTACCATCAGTAACACACTACGCCGCCAGGGACTCAAATCCTGCAGTGCGAGACGTGTCCCCCTGCTTAAGCCAGTACATGTCCAGGCCCGTCTGAAGTGCATTTGGATGATCCAGAAGAGGATTGGGAGAATGTCATATGGTCAGATGAAACCAAAATATAACTTTTTGGTAAAAACTCAACTCGTCATGTTTGGAGGACAAAGAATGCTGAGTTGCATCCAAAGAACACCATACCTACTGTGAAGCATGGGGTTGGAAACATCATGCTTTGGGGCTGTTTTTCTGCAAAGGGACCAGGACGACTGATCCGTGTAAAGGAAAGAATGAATGGGGCCATGTATCGTGAGATTTTGAGTGAAACCCTCCTTCCATCAGCAAGGGCATTGAAGATGAAACGTGGCTGGGTCTTTCAGCATGACAATGATCCCAAACACACCGCCCGGGCAACGAAGGAGTGGCTTCGTAAGAAGCATTTCAAGGTCCTGGAGTGGCCTACCCAGTCTCCAGATCTCAACCCCATAGAAAATCTTTGGAGGGAGTTGAAAGTCTGTGTTGCCCAGCGACAGCCCCAAAACATCACTGCTCTAGAGGAGATCTGCATGGAGGAATGGGCCAAAATACCAGCAACAGTGTGTGAAAACCTTTTGAAGACTTACAGAAAACGTTTGACCTGTGTCATTGCCAACAAAGGGTATATAACAAAGTATTGAGAAACTTTTGTTATTGACCAAATACTTATTTTCCACCATCATATGCCAATAAATTCATTAAAAATCCTACAATGTGATTTTCTGGATTTTTTTTTCTCATTTTGTCTGTCATAGTTGACGTGTACCTATGATGAAAATTACAGGCCTCTCTCATCTTTTTAAGTGGGAGAACTTGCACAATTGGTGGCTGACTAAATACTTTTTTTCCCCACTGTAGCCTCCCTACTGTCACTTTATTTTACTGTATATATAGCCTCCCTACTGTCACTTTATTTTACTTCTGCTCCTTTTTTCCTCAACACTTTTTTTGTTGTTGTTTTATTCTTACTTTTTTTGTTTAAAATAAATGCACTGTTGGTTAAGGGCTGTAAGTAAGCATTTCACTGTAATGTCTGCACCTGTTGTATTCGGCGCATGTGACCAATACAATTTGATTTGATTTGATTTAATTAAGCTCACGAAACAGTAATTCAAGAAGATCTAAACGCATATTCCCATGAAACTGATTGAGATCAAATGATTGGCATGCAGTTAGGACATTTTCACCAGGTAAAACGTAAAGAATTATCATACACGATTGACATTGATGGCCTATTTTGAAATTAAGATATGCCTAACTTGGTGTATGAGGGTATAAAAAATAAAACATTGTCTGCTGACAATATGTGTGGGTATAGGAAGACGTTGCAATTGGAGGATGCATTTTATGCATAGGCCTATTCTACAATGATATTCAATAGGTCACATCTGTCGGTACAAGCTTTGATTGAGAAATGACATTTAAAAAAAAAAATATTTTAAAAAGTCTCACTCACCTAAAGAAATACTGTATGTATGCTGTCAGTACTTCTATACATACTGTATGTCTGGCTATGTTGACATCTCGTCTCCATTTTGTTTTCCCTATAGGCAGCTTGTGCAGTTCCTTCTTAACCCAACGCTATCACATTCCTGTCATGGATTCCATATTCGTCAGGAAGTGTCACCGTGGCAACGGTCTGGGTCTTCAGATGCTGGAGAACTTTGTTGACAGTTTCAAAGAGGAATGCCTTGGGTTGAGATACCCCCTTTCAAAAGCTATGTACAAAGGTAATCAACCTTTTTTTACTAGTTGTTGGATATAGAATGTTCACACAGAGTTCCCTAAGTTGCGGCCACCAGCCTACCAGTCCACTTTCCTAACAACTGCTCTGTATTGTTCTCCAGTGTGTGGGAAGTATCTGAGCCTGTACCCAGCCCACAGAGACCTACTGTGGGAGGTGGAGAGTATTGGAGGACCCAGCCAGAGGACCAACATAGCCAACAAGATCCATACCATGGCCACGAGCAGTATGTTTATCACAGATTTCAAATGGAAGATGTGAAGGTCCCTTAAGTGTCTCGATTGCTGTATTTAGGTGGTTAGATTGACTTGTCACAGTATGCCTTTAAACATTGACAATTATCACTAAAACGATGGAACTTCTTCCCTCAGCCTTATCGAAGAACCTGTCTTTTACGGAGCACTCTGAAGTGAACCGTGACGTGGCTGAAAACGAGGTGGTCATGGAGGAAGTGACTTCACACCTACAGGAACAGGAAGCCATGGAGTACACCGTTGAAATTGTGGTATGTTTTATAAATCTAACAATAGATTGAATGTAAATAAGTAGGACTGGGCGGTATACCGTAATTTACTTTATACCGGTATTGATGCATGGACCAGTTTGGGCTTTCACTTCACCTTCTATAATGGTATATCAATGTTTGGTTTGTTAAATGTCATACGCAACTCCAGCACGTGTAATATCCGTTTTTATAGTTGACTCCGTTTCAGACGTCTTTCTCCCTCTCCTCCTGCTGCAAGCCCCGCCCCCTGTCCTGCCCCCTGTCACTCAAGGAGAGAACAGTTGCTCGACCATGGAGTCACAAGCACTTTCTTGCAGTTCACTCTGAAGTGCAGTCAGTCTGCGTGGTCAGATAGATGCAACAAGATGTTGGTGACATATGTTCTATAATGACACTATTAATTTGTGTATCTTACTGTCTGCTAGTTTGTCTTTTATTTATTAAAGTTGTGGCTAAAATAAATATTGTTAGCCTCTAATGCTAATCACTAGTTAGCTGGCTAGCTAGCTTGCTAAATGTACTTTGAGTCAGAGCAAACACAGCTATCTAATACAGCCTGGTACCAGTTCTGGTGTAGGCCAAGATAAGCATGTTGTTTGTGCAACGGTATCTTCTAAATCAGAGAGGAATATGTAAAACATGAATATGTTAGCTAGCTACATGAGGTAAGAAACATGTAATGCAACATCTAATTAGGGTCACCTGGAAACACAGACCAACACTTTGGTTCCTACCCTGTCAATAATTCCTCCCTGGCTTATTAATGTGTTGTCATGTCAAACAACAATGTATTCAAGGTGCTGCCCACTATATTAATACTATAGAATTAGAATAATCATTTTATTTCCATGATTCCAACAGTTCACAATTACCTAGGCCTATATTTGTTTGCCCATATAATGCAGCCCTGTGTGGCACAATGACAACAATAGTGCATGAAATGCAGAAATTCATGAAAATGTTTCTTTTTTTGTTTGAAGTTGGATTGAACAGTATAAAACAATCAGAAAGGAGAAAGCCTGATTGTTGCCACCCTAGGGTCATGAACTACTCATAAAGCATATTTAGAACTTTTTGTTTAATTTTTTGTGACCAACTTTTTTTATTTTGTTTTATCTTTTTTTTTTTTAAGGGGGGTTGTATAGTAAAATACGGTATACAACCCAGTGCTAGTAGAGATGGAGTCCTCCATCCGGGTCTTGAGAGGCAGTAGGGCTGATTTGGTTAAATACATTTTATAGTTTGAGATTAAGCCGGATTTATCTATGATCTTCAATGCGTTTGGGAGCGATTGAGATACATTGTCTAGATATAGTAAAATATCGTGTGCGTATAATGAGATGAAGTGATCTGTAGATTGGTGTTATTTCCTTCGATTGAGGAATTGCCTGGGCCAGGGGATAACAAGAATAGAAAAGGTGAAGTTGGATCGCCTTGTCTGCTGCTTCTAGTGATTCTGAACGGAGCAGAGCAGATATTGCTTGTTATAACTATGGCTGAGGGATTGGCATATAATAATCATACTAATGAAATTGGAACCAATTCCATATGTTCCAAGATAGACCAGATATATGTCTATTCTAGTCTATCAAAAACGTACTCTGCATAGAGATAATGCAGGCCAAGGAGCTGCTGTTTCTGATGAAGCATCTAAGAGATGTAATAGCCAACAGAGGTTATCCGAGGATAAACGCTTTTTTAACAAACCCGCTTGGGTCCGTGTGGACCAATATCGGTAATTAAGTCTCGAGACGGGACGACAACATAAAAAAAAAATAATAATAATAATAATATCGGTGTTCATCAAAGATGGTGAGCACTCTGGGTGGCATCCTTACCTTTTATAAATAAAAGCGAAATTAGTGCTGCATTTACATCTCTCCCAAATGAACCTTTGTGAACGGCTGTATTAATCATTTGAGCTTTAAAAAGACCTCAGGAGGAATACCGTCCCATCCAGGTGATTTGCCGTTATTCATGCTATCCAATACCCTTTTGAGTTAATTGAGAGAGATTTGGGCTCCCAGTGAGGTGGCTTCCTCTGTTGAGAGAAGAGGAGTTCTTAATTATTTTAGAAAGGACTTAGTCTTGCTTGGTGTGGCTTTACAAATCAGAGGTGTACAGTTCTTTATAGTGGGAGAATCTTTGATTGATTAATTTGGGTTCTGATAGTAATTCCCCTGTTTCAGATTCAATAGTTGCTATATCAGCTAATTGAACATTACTGCGTAGCTTGTTGGCCAGTAAACGACTGGGACGATTCCAATGGATGTAATGGTTGAGTCTAATTCTGCTCTGTCTTATCAATAAATTAAGTTCTGTCTTGACTTTGGAAAGAGTAATAGCTACCTAGTCTGAAAAGAGTGTTTGTTGAGAACACTCAAACATAGTTAACAACATTTCCAAATCTGATATCTTCTTTAATTGTGATTTATTCAACCCAGATGCAAATGCATACTTAGAACTTTTATTATTCATAAAAACATAAAATACGTCAAATACCGTCATACCTTAAAAATATGAAAGGATATTGTGAAATCGCCCAGCCCTATAAAGAAGTATGGTGTGTGTCATGAATAATCTGTATATTGTTCCATATGAACTTTTGTATTGTATTATTTACCTATGTACAATCAGTTGGTGTAGTGGAGGGTAAATGCCGGTAAACGCAGTTTACCCACCATTTTTTTGCAAGACAGTTTACCCACCTTTTGGGGGAAAATGCATTGAAAGTATAGGGAGCATACATTTTTTACTGCGACCGGTGATCCGAGTTTACCCACCTATTTTTTACCACTACATCAATGTAATTATGTTTTTCTTTCATAAAATTATACCTTATTCACTCTTAATTATACCTTATTCACTCCCCGAGTGGCGCAGTGGTCTAAGGCACTGCATCGCAGTGCTAGCTGTGCCACTAGAGATCCTGGTTCAAATCCAGGCTCTGTCGTAGCCGGCCGCGACCGGGAGACCTATGGGGCGGCGCACAATTGGTCCAGGGTAGGGGAGGGAATGGCCGGCAGGGATGTAGTTCAGTTGGTAGAGCATGGCGTTTGCAATGCCAGGGTTGTGGGTTCAATTCCCATGGGGGGCCAGTATGAAAAGTAAAAAAATAATGTAATTCGCTCTGGATAAGAGCGTCTGCTAAATGACTTAAATGTTAATAACACATGGTCTACAATCACATTTCTTTGTTCATAGGAGGAAGTTACACTGGTCAAAGTGACAAACGGCAAGTATTGGTTGTTTCATGTTCATCTTCGTGATAACATACAATATCTAACAATAGACTTTCTCTTCCTAATGCCGACTGTGGTGAATGTTTTCAGGGAATGAAGAAACGCCGGTTACAACCCGAGGCAGGAGCAGTGGCCTCAAACGCAAGAAGATCTTAGAGGAAAGCAAATCAGAGAAAGTCATCAGGTAACAGAGAATGGGAATATCGCTTTGTTTCAAGTGTTCATGGAATACAGTAAAACACATGAACAGTTAAAAAGCTATTGTCCAAATGAAGGTGATTCACTTTGGCATGTCTGTGTGGTTTAGGATTGAGGATATTGAAGCAGAGGTGGAGACTCCCAAAGAGAAGCCAGTTGCAGAGCATCAACAAGAGAATAAAGAAGTTGCTGCTGTTGCTGAATCCGACAAAGAAGAGTTAGCTGAGGTACGTATACGAGTCATACGATTCGTAAACCATTCATATTTTGTTTTTCAAGTGTCCCAGGAGTAAGGAATCTTAAGTGACACACTCTCTTTAAAAAAATAATTGACAGGATGTCGTTGACACAGCCATGGATGACCCAGCAGTAGAGCCTGAGCTCGGAGAGGAGATTGGAGAAACTGTTACAACACAGACACTCAAGCTTCAGAAGACCACTGTGGTGCTAGTGGACCTGAAGAAAACCTTGCAACCACAAGTGGAGGTAGAAAATGTGGCCTCAGAGATCGAGGAGGTGGAGGAGGTGAACGAGGCTCCAAAGGAGGTGGCAGGAACCAATGAAGACGAAGAAGAAACAGCCGAAGAACCCTCTGAGGAAAAGAAAAGAAGAGGGAGACCAAGATCCACTCGTCTCACAAAACCTGTTGAGGCTGAGGAGGAGACGGAGGAAGAGGAGCAGCCAGCAGTTGAGGAACCTGCTGAGGAAGAGGAGAATATCTCACCACCTGAAGAGGAAGAAGAGGCTCCAGTTGTAGAAACAAGAGTCCTGAGGAGAGGAAGAAAAAGTGTTCCAGTTACTTCGACTCCAAAACGCAAGTCCACAAGAAGAGGCAAACAGCATGAGGAGGAGGAGGAAGAGGTAGCTGATGAAGAGGCAGCTGAGGAAGAAGAAGAGGCACCAGTAGTTCTGAGGAGAGAAAGGAAATCTGCCCCTGTTCCTGCCCCTGCAACACCTCCAACTGTTGTTGAAGCAGAAGAGGCAGAGAAAACAGATGAAACGACAGAGGAGGTAGTAGACGACAAAGTCCAGGAAAAAGCTGTTGAGGAAGAGGAAGAGAAGGCCACAACAACAACAAGCCAAGATGAAGAGGAAGTGGAAGCAGAGAGCCTTGAGGAGGTTGTGGAAGTTCCTCCAGTTGTGGAAACTAGAGCTAAGAGGAGCAGGACAAAAACAGTCGCAGCAGCCACACCCAAACGAAAGTCCACACGAAGCAAGTCCTCTGTGGATTATAAGGAACAGGATGCAGAGGAGGAGGAAACAGGAAAAGAGGAGGGGTCTGAGGATGCTATCATTGAGGAGACGGAGAAGCAGCCTGAGGAACGCACATCAGAGAAAGTCATCAGGTAACAGAGAATGGGAATATCGCTTTGTTTCAAGTGTTCATGGAATACGGTAAAACACATGAACAGTTAAAAAGCTATTGTCCAAATGAAGGTGATTCACTTTGGCATGTCTGTGTGGTTTAGGATTGAGGATATTGAAGCAGAGGTGGAGACTCCCAAAGAGAAGCCAGTTGCAGAGCATCAACAAGAGAATAAAGAAGTTGCTGCTGTTGCTGAATCCGACAAAGAAGAGTTAGCTGAGGTACGTATACGTGTCATACGATTCGTAAACAATTCATCTTTTGTTTTTCAAGTGTCCCAGGAGTAAGGAATCTTAAGTGACACACTCTCTTTAAAAAAATAATTGACAGGATGTCGTTGACACAGCCATGGATGACCCAGCAGTAGAGCCTGAGCTCGGAGAGGAGATTGGAGAAACTGTTACAACACAGACACTCAAGCTTCAGAAGACCACTGTGGTGCTAGTGGACCTGAAGAAAACCTTGCAACCACAAGTGGAGGTAGAAAATGTGGCCTCAGAGATCGAGGAGGTGGAGGAGGTGAACGAGGCTCCAAAGGAAGTGGCAGGAACCAATGAAGACGAAGAAGAAACAGCCGAAGATCCCTCTGAGGAAAATAAAAGAAGAGAGAGACCAAGATCCACTCGTCTCACAAAACCTGTTGAGGCTGAGGAGGAGACGGAGGAAGAGGAGCAGCCAGCAGTTGAGGAACCTGCTGAGGAAAAGGAGAAGATCTCACCACCTGAAGAGGAAGAAGAGGCTCCAGTTGTAGAAACAAGAGTCCTGAGGAGAGGAAGAAAAAGTGTTCCAGTTACTTCGACTCCAAAACGCAAGTCCACAAGAAGAGGCAAACAGCATGAGGAGGAGGAGGAAGAGGTAGCTGATGAAGAGGCAGCTGAGGAAGAAGAAGATGCACCAGTAGTTCTGAGGAGAGAAAGGAAATCTGCCCCTGTTCCTGCCCCTGCAACACCTCCAACTGTTGTTGAAGCAGAAGAGGCAGAGAAAACAGATGAAACGACAGAGGAGGTAGTAGACGACAAAGTCCAGGAAAAAGCTGTTGAGGAAGAGGAAGAGAAGGCCACAACAACAACAAGCCAAGATGAAGAGGAAGTGGAAGCAGAGAGCCTTGATGAGGTTGTGGAAGTTCCTCCAGTTGTGGAAACTAGAGCTAAGAGGAGCAGGACAAAAACAGTCGCAGCAGCCACACCCAAACGAAAGTCCACACGAAGCAAGTCCTCTGTGGATTATAAGGAACAGGATGCAGAGGAGGAGGAAACAGAAAAAGAGGAGGTGTCTGAGGATGCTATCATTGAGGAGACGGAGAAGCAGCCTGAGGAACGCACATCAGAGAAAGTCATCAGGTAACAGAGAATGGGAATATCGCTTTGTTTCAAGTGTTCATGGAATACAGTAAAACACATGGACAGTTAAAAAGCTATTGTCCAAATGAAGGTGATTCACTTTGGCATGTCTGTGTGGTTTAGGATTGAGGATATTGAAGCAGAGGTGGAGACTCCCAAAGAGAAGCCAGTTGCAGAGCATCAACAAGAGAATAAAGAAGTTGCTGCTGTTGCTGAATCCGACAAAGAAGAGTTAGCTGAGGTACGTATACGTGTCATACGATTCGTAAACAATTCATCTTTTGTTTTTCAAGTGTCCCAGGAGTAAGGAATCTTAAGTGACACACTCTCTTTAAAAAAATAATTGACAGGATGTCGTTGACACAGCCATGGATGACCCAGCAGTAGAGCCTGAGCTCGGAGAGGAGATTGGAGAAACTGTTACAACACAGACACTCAAGCTTCAGAAGACCACTGTGGTGCTAGTGGACCTGAAGAAAACCTTGCAACCACAAGTGGAGGTAGAAAATGTGGCCTCAGAGATCGAGGAGGTGGAGGAGGTGAACGAGGCTCCAAAGGAGGTGGCAGGAACCAATGAAGACGAAGAAGAAACAGCCGAAGATCCCTCTGAGGAAAATAAAAGAAGAGAGAGACCAAGATCCACTCGTCTCACAAAACCTGTTGAGGCTGAGGAGGAGACGGAGGAAGAGGAGCAGCCAGCAGTTGAGGAACCTGCTGAGGAAAAGGAGAAGACTTCACCACCTGAGGAGGAAGAGGAGGCTCCAATTGTAGAAACAAGTGTCCTCAGGAGAGGAAGAAAAAGTGTTTCAGCTACTCCGACACGCAAGTCCACACGAAGAGGCAAACAACCACAAGAAGAGAAGGAGGGGGAGGAAGAGCCAGCTGAGGAAGAAGAAGATGCACCAGTAGTGGAAAACATAGTTCTGAAGAGAGATACCAGAGGCAGATTTTCTGATCTTGCCCCTGCTCCTGCCACACCCAGAAGCAAATCCACACAAGCCTGCAAACAGCCTGAGGAAGAGGAGGAGAAGGAAGAGGAGTTGGCTGAACCTGTTCAGGAAGCTTTGGAAGAAAAGGTGGAGAAAGAAAAAGCAGTGGATGAAGCAGCAGCTGCAACGGTGGAGTGTGTGGGGGAAGAGAAGGTTACAGAGGAAGGCAGAACAGAGGAAGAGGGAAAGGTGGAGGAAGAGACGGAAGAGGAAGCTGAAGCTGCAGTTGAAAGTGTACCAGTGGAGGAGGAGAGTGTTGCAGAAGAAAAGGTGGTGGAGGGAGAAACAATTCAGGAAGAGAAAAGGGTAGAGGAAGAAAAGGAGATTGGAAAGACTATTACAACACAGACACTCAAGCTTCAGAAAGCCACTGTGGTGCTGGTGGACCTGAAAAAGACCTCGCGCCCACAAGTGGAGGATGAAAATGTGGCCACAGAGATAGAGGTGGAGGAGGAGGAGGAGGAGGAGGAGGATCTAAAAGAGGAGGTGGCAGGAACCAATGAAGACGAAGAAGAGAACAAAGAAGAAACAGCCGAAGAACCCTCTGAGGAAAAGAAAAGAAGAGAGAGACCAAGATCCACTCGTCTCACAAAACCTGTTGAGGCTGAGGAGGAGACGGAGGAAGAGGAGCAGCCAGCAGTTGAGGAACCTGCTGAGGAAGAGGAGAAGATCTCACCACCTGAAGAGGAAGAAGAGGCTCCAGTTGTAGAAACAAGAGTCCTGAGGAGAGGAAGAAAAAGTGTTCCAGTTACTTCGACTCCAAAACGCAAGTCCACAAGAAGAGGCAAACAGCATGAGGAGGAGGAGGAAGAGGTAGCTGATGAAGAGGCAGCTGAGGAAGAAGAAGAGGCACCAGTAGTTCTGAGGAGAGAAAGGAAATCTGCCCCTGTTCCTGCCCCTGCAACACCTCCAACTGTTGTTGAAGCAGAAGAGGCAGAGAAAACAGATGAAACGACAGAGGAGGTAGTAGACGACAAAGTCCAGGAAAAAGCTGTTGAGGAAGAGGAAGAGAAGGCCACAACAACAACAAGCCAAGATGAAGGGGAAGTGGAAGCAGAGAGCCTTGAGGAGGTTGTGGAAGTTCCTCCAGTTGTGGAAACTAGAGCTAAGAGGAGCAGGACAAAAACAGTCGCAGCAGCCACACCCAAACGAAAGTCCACACGAAGCAAGTCCTCTGTGGATTATAAGGAACAGGATGCAGAGGAGGAGGAAACAGGAAAAGAGGAGGGGTCTGAGGATGCTATCATTGAGGAGACGGAGAAGCAGCCTGAGGAACGCACATCAGAGAAAGTCATCAGGTAACAGAGAATGGGAATATCGCTTTGTTTCAAGTGTTCATGGAATACGGTAAAACACATGAACAGTTAAATAGCTATTGTCCAAATGAAGGTGATTCACTTTGGCATGTCTGTGTGGTTTAGGATTGAGGATATTGAAGCAGAGGTGGAGACTCCCAAAGAGAAGCCAGTTGCAGAGCATCAACAAGAGAATAAAGAAGTTGCTGCTGTTGCTGAATCCGACAAAGAAGAGTTAGCTGAGGTACGTATACTACATTTAAACGTTAAAACGTTTCAAAGAAATTGGGGATCCTTAATGTTAAGACAAACTCCCTAACCGATAAACAATGTTATTATTTTCCTCACAAAATTCTAATCACAGTGCAGTTATCACAAAACAACCACTAACTTGTCCCGATCATCATCATGAATTGAAAATGTAAATGAAACAAATACCTAATGCAACTATGCTGTAACGTTAGTAGGAGGAGACAAAAAGCCTGTTTTTTTTAGCTACTTTATTAACCGGAGCTGTAATGCGTGAGGGAGCGGCGAGAGGCCCGAAGCAGAGCATCAGCTCAAAAGTGATGAGGGGAGCAGGGATGGGAAGAGAGATAGCAACCAAGTCGACTCGCGCCGGTAGACTAACCTATTGCTAGTTATTTATCATCTCATCTGATTACATAGTACCTGTCTTAACTGCGTCAAACCTAGAGAAGCTAGTTAAGCTAGCTATCCAGCTAGCTAGGCTAATTAAGACTAGCTACATAACCTTAACTGTGCGCTTTAGCCCCTTGAGAATCCTACAGTAAATAACAACAACTCCATTCAGAATATTAAGTAGCAGCCTACCTGTTGGCTCTTCTTTAACTTTTAGTTCTGTCATTTTAATTCCATCTTCCATTGATTAGACTGATAATTTTCCACATCTCCTGATAACTTTCCAATCTCCTGACAACTTTCCAATCTCCTGACAATTTTCCAATCTCCCGATAACTTTCCAATCTCCTGATAACTTTCCAATCTCCTGATAACTTTCCACATCTCCTGATAACTTTCCACATCTCCTGATAACTTTCCACATCTCCTGATAACTTTCCAATCTCCTGATAACTTTCCAATCTCCTGATAACTTTCCACATCTCCTGATAACTTTCCAATCTCCTGATAACTTTCCACATCTCCTGACAACTTTCCAATCTCCTGATAACTTTCCAATCTCCTGATAACTTTCCACATCTCCTGACAACTTTCCACATCTCCTGATAACTTTCCAATCTCCTGATAACTTTCCAATCTCCTGATAACTTTCCAATCTCCTGATAACTTTCCAATCTCCTGATAACTTTCCAATCTCCTGATAACTTTCCAATCTCCTGATAACTTTCCAATCTCCTGATAACTTTCCACATCTCCTGATAACTTTCCACATCTCCTGATAACTTTCCACATCTCCTGATAACTTTCCACATCTCCTGATAACTTTCCAATCTCCTGATAACTTTCCAATCTCCTGATAACTTTCCAATCTCCTGATAACTTTCCAATCTCCTGATAACTTTCCACATCTCCTGATAACTTTCCACATCTCCTGATAACTTTCCAATCTCCTGATAACTTTCCAATCTCCTGATAACTTTCCACATCTCCTGATAACTTTCCACATCTCCTGATAACTTTCCACATCTCCTGATAACTTTCCAATCTCCTGATAACTTTCCAATCTCCTGATAACTTTCCAATCTCCTGATAACTTTCCAATCTCCTGATAACTTTCCACATCTCCTGATAACTTTCCAATCTCCTGATAACTTTCCAATCTCCTGATAACTTTCCAATCTCCTGATAACTTTCCACTCTGAGGCTGTAGCTCTATGTTGCCTAGTGCCGGTTTGATGACTTGTGATTGGACGACAACAACAACAAGCTACACGCGCCACTCTCGTGAAAAGCAAAGAGCATCAGCAGTATAAATGATCAAATGTTCTCTCTCAGCGGAAAGCGCGATGCAGACCATCTGCATTGTGAATTCACATGGAATTTTCAGAAAACAAACGATCAAATAAATGTCCGCTTAAACGTTTAAAAAAAAAGAAAAGTCAATTTGACACATCCCTAATGTATATGATATTGGTAAACAATTAATCTTTGTTTTTCAAGTGCTTTTCAAGTGCCCATGAGTAAGGAGACTTAAGTGACACACTCTTTTTTTTCCTTCTAAATTTGACAGGATGTCGTTCACACAGCCACGGCGGACACGGCAGTAGAGCCTGCGCTTGGCGAGGAGATTGGAAAGACTGTTGCAACACAGACACTCAAGCTTCAGAAAGCCACTGTGGTGCTGGTGGACCTGAAGAAAACCTTGCAACCACAAGTGGAGGTTGAAAATGTGGCCTCACAGATAGAGGAGATGGAGGAGGAGGAGGCTCTAAAAGAGGAGGTGGCAGGAACCAATGAAGAAGAAGAAACAGCTGAAGAGGAAAAGAAAAGAAGAGAGAGACCAAGATCCACTCGTCTCACAAAACCTGTTGAGGCTGAGGAGGAGACGGAGGAAGAGGAGCTGCCAGCAGTTGAGGAACCTGCTGAGGAAAAGGAGAAGACTTCACCACCTGAGGAGGAAGAGGAGTCTCCAATTGTAGAAACAAGTGTCCTCAGGAGAGGAAGAAAAAGTGTTTCAGCTACTCCGACACGCAAGTCTACACGAAGAGGCAAACAACCACAAGAAGAGAAGGAGGGGGAGGAAGAGCCAGCTGAGGAAGAAGAAGATGCACCAGTAGTGGAAAACATAGTTCTGAAGAGAGATACCAGAGGCAGATTTTCTGATCTTGCCCCTGGTCCTGCCACACCCAGAAGCAAATCCACACAAGCCTGCAAACAGCCTGAGGAAGAGGAGGAGAAGGAAGAGGAGTTGGCTGAACCTGTTCAACCTGCTGTGGAAGTGGAGATCTCGCCACCTGAGGAGGAAGAGGAGGCTCCAGTTGTAGAAACAAGAGTCCTGAGGAGAGGAAGAAAAAGTGTTCCAGCTACCCCGACTCCAAAACGCAAGTCCACAAGAAGAGGCAAACAGCCCGAGGAAGAGGAGAATATGGAGGAGCCAGAGGAAAAAGAGGCCGCTGAGGAAGAAGAAGAGGCACCAGTAGTGAAAGCAAGAGTTCTGAGGAGAGGAAGGAAATCTGCTTCTGCTTCTGCTCCTGCCCCTGCAACACCTAGACGCAAATCCACACGTGCCAGCAAAGAACCTGAAGAGGAGGAGGTGGCTGAATCTGTGCGGGACGCTGTGGATGAAAAGGAGGAAGTAAAACCAGTGGAAGAAGAAAAGGCAGAGGAGAAAGCAACACTAATGGATAAAGAGGACATGGTGGAGGAAGCTGCAACAGTGGAGAGTGTGGGGGAAGAAAAGGTGACAGAGGAAGCCATATCTGAGGAAGAGGGAAAGGTGAAGGAAGAGAAGGAAGAGGAAGCTGAAGCTGCACCTGAAACTGCAACAGTGGAGGAGGGGAGTGTTGCAGAAGAAAATGTGAATGAAGAAGCAACAACTGAGGAAGAGGTAAAGGTGGAGGAAGAGAAGGAAGCGGAGAGAGTGGAAGAAGAAAAGATTGAGGATGCCGCAGCTGAAACTATTAGTGTGGAAGAAAAGATGGAGGAGGAAGCAACAACCACAGAGGAAGAAAAGGAAGAGGAAAAAGTTGAGGAAGAGAAGAAAGAAGAAATAGTTATTGAACTAGCTGTAGAACAACTAGCTGAGGAAGTTGCTGTGTTAGAAGAGGCAGAAAAAGTGGAGGAGAAAGAGGAAGCAAAGCCATTTGAGGAAGAGGAGAAGACTTCACCGCCCGAGGAGGAAGAGCAAGCTCCAGTAGTGGAGGAAGAGGATGCTCCAGTTGTAGAAACAAGAGTTTTGAGGAGAGGAAGAAAAAGTGTTCCAGCTACTCCGACTCCTAAGCGCAAGTCCACAAGAAGAGGCAAACACGCGGAGGAAGAGCCAGCTGTGGAAGAAAAGGCACCAGTAGTGGGAACCAGAGTTCTGAGGAGAGGAAGCAGAGGCAGAGTTTCTGCTCCTGCCCCTGCCACACCCGGAAGCAAATCCACACGAGCCCGCAAACAACCTGAGGAGGAGAAGGAAGAGGAGGTGGAAGCAGAAATGGTAGATGAGAAAAAGATGGAGGAGGTGGTTGCACCTGTTCAGGAAGCTGTGGAGGAAGAAAAAGCAGTGGACAAAGTAGAAGCTGAAACTGCACCAGTGAAAGAGGAGAATGTTGCCGAACAAAAGGTGGTGGAGGGACAAACAACTCAGGAGGAGAAAACGGTGGAAGAAGAAAAGATTGAGGAATTTGCAGCTGAAACTGCTACTGTGGAAGAAAAGGTGGAAGAAAAAACACCTGAAAATGAGGAAAAGGTTGAAGAAGAGAAGGAAGCAGAAGCTGAAACTGCACCAGTAGAAGAGAAGAGTGTTGCAGAAGAAAAGGTGGAGGAAGAAGCAAAACCCACAGACGAAGAAAATGTGGAAAAAACAACAACTGAGGAAGAGGAAAAAGTTGAGGAAAATAAGAAAGAGGTGGAAGCAGAAGAGGAAGAAATTGTTGAAATGGATGTAGAAAAACTAGCAGATGTAGGTAAAGAGGCAGAACAAGTGGAGGAGGCAACAGCAGTTGAAAGTGTTGCATATGAAGTGGTAGGAAAGCCAGTTGAGGAACCTGCTGAGGAAGAAGAGAAGACTCCACCACCTGAGGAGGAAGAAGAGGCTCCAGTTGTAGAAACAAGAGTCCTGAGGAGAGGAAGAAAAAGTGTTCCAGTTACTCCTCCAAAACGCAAGTCCACCCGAAGATGCAAACAAGCTGAGGAAGAGGAGGAGGAAGAAAAGCCAGCTGTGGAAGAAGAGGCTCCAGTTGTGGAAAGTGTTGCAGAGGAAGTGGTAGTAAAGCCAGTTGAGGAACTTGCTGAGGAAGAAGAGGAGACTCCACCACCTGAGGAGGAAGAAGAGGCTCCAGTTGTAGAAACAAGAGTCCTGAGGAGAGGAAGAAAAAGTGTTCCAGTTACTCCTCCAAAACGCAAGTCCACCCGAAGATGCAAACAAGCTGAGGAAGAGGAGGAGGAAGAAAAGCCAGCTGTGGAAGAAGAGGCTCCAGTTGTGGAAAGTGTTGCAGAGGAAGTGGTAGAAAAGCCAGTTGAGGAAAAGAAGACCTCACAACCTGAGGAGGAAGAGGAGGCTCCAGTTGTAGAAACAAGAGTCCCGAGGAGAAGGGAAAAAAGCACTCCTGTTAATCCTCCAAAACGTAGGTTCACACCAAGAGGCAAGCAAGCCGAGGAAAATGAGAAGGAGGAGGAAGAAAAAGTAGAGGAGGTGGCTGAACATGTGCCGGAAGCTGTGGAGGAAAAGGAGGCGGCAGCTGAGGAAGATGAGGCACCAGTAGTGGAAGCCAAAGTTCTGAGGAGAGGAAGGAGATCTGCCCCTGTCACACACAGACGCAAATCCAAACGAGCCCGCAAAGAACCTGAAGAAGAGGAAGAGGCGAACGAGGAGGAAAAGGTAGAGGAGGAAAACGCAGTGGAGGAGAAAAAGGTGGTTGAGGTTGAGGAGAATAAGACAGAGGCAGATGTTGCGATGGAGGAGGAAGAAGAAAAAGTTGAAGAGTCAGCAGAGACAAAAGAGGAAGAAGCCATCACACAGCAGCCAGAGGAGGTGGCAGAGCAAACAGAGGGGAAGAAAGAAGTAGAGAACACTGCTGAAACAGAAGAAGAAGAAAAGGGAGCTGACGAAGAAACGGCTAAAGCGGTAGAGAAGAAGGAGGAAGGAGACACCACCAATGTGGAGGAAAATACTGACGAGGCAACAGCGACTCCTGCTGCTTCTCAAGATGAAGTAGAGGGAGTAGATGGTGAAGCTTCAGAGGAAGAGAAGGGAGAAACTCCAGCGGTTGAAGCGGAAGAGGCAGAGAAAACAGAAGAAACTACAGAGGAAGTAGAAGACAATGTCCAGGACAAAGCTGTTGAGGAAGAGGATGAGAAGGCCACAACAACAACAACAAGCCAAGAGGAAGAGGAAGTGGAAGCAGAGAGCCTTGACGAGGTTGTGGAAGTTCCTCCAGTTGTGGAAACTATAGCTAAGAGGAGCAGGACAAAAATAGTCGCAGCAGCCACACCCAAACGGAAGTCCACACGAAGCAAGACCTCTGTGGATTATAAGGAACAGGATGCAGAGGAGGAGGAAACAGGAAATGAACCCACGGTGGAAGAAGGGGAGGATAACGTAGCGACAGAAGAGGAAAGCGTAGTAGAGGAGGAGGGAAAAGAAAAAGAGGAGGGTGCTATCGTCGAGACGGAGAAGCAGCCTGAGGTAACGAGAGTTCTAAGAGTGAGGCTAACTGCCATGCCCATAACCACACCCATGGCCACACCCACACCACAGCATACATCCACAAGAAGCAGCAAAATAGTTACACCTGAGAAGGTCGAGCCTGAGGTGGGCATGCTTTCATCAGATGAAGAGCAGGAAGAGAGCCCCGTGGAAAAGAGAAATCTCCGGAAGAGAAAAAGCATGGAACCAACACCTGTTGGCAGATCCAAGCGCCGCAGCAGAACTTAGACTGTGTTTTTTTTGTTCAGTTTAAAAAAAAAATGCATCTATTTAGTGAAGATCATTTTCTTCTATCTATTTGTAAGTTAAAATAAAATAAATAAATAAACTCACTTCACATTTTTCTGTAATTTTTCTGAAAGTCGATATGCAGTATATTTGATACCTTTTCATATTGTACATATATTTAGCATTTTAAGTACAAATCTGTGAACAGTTTTTTTTTTTTACCTTAGTGGCTTGTAACACGATGCGTTTCAGTCGTTTTCTGATAAATGTATAGCAGTTTTTAACTGTTTCTGTTGCAGTTTCTAACAGCACAACTAAGTCTGTTCTATTTTTTTGTAATCACAATTTGGTCATGATCTGATAAGATAATATTTATTCCCTCAAAATACTGCTTCCCATAATCGGCTAAAACAACATTTATTCCCTCAAAATAATCCTAACTTCAGAATGCCAAACGGTGTCTCCTCAAGTAAGACTCAAGAAGTCTATAAAGAAATGAATATATTTTTTAATACGAATTTAGTTACATCGGGACACACTAGCACTAATCGTCATTAAGAACATATTTTGGGCCACCTGGCTCCATGCTCAATCAGGAATATCTTAGAAGATATGAAATATTGATATCTGCAATAGTGCAGATACATATGAAAACATTAAATGACCCCGAGAATCGATAGAACATTGCTCAGAGATGCACAAAAACAATATAACATCTCCCCTTTAATAATCTTATAACAATCTTTTTTTAAGCAAGCTATGTTTTTTTTTTTTCTACAAATTTCAGTGACATTTCTTGTGGAAATTTGGAATGCTTACATTTTCACCCAAATATAATTTTATACAAATGTTTTCAACAGAACTCAGGATATAAAATCAAATTTGATGTATTTTTTCTTTAATGGTTAATTTCGACATAATTCTTCATTTGAAATGTTTTATGTCAACACTTTGTGTCATTGTGTTACAGTTTGTGTGTAGTAAAATATTTGGTACACTTTGAACATATGATATTTAGTGTTAAAACAACAACCAAATACACACATTTATCATTTAAGGTTTTGATAGACAGTAAATTCAATTTTAATAACAGTAATAACATGGTCATACAGAACAGTTTGTAAAATAAAGTTTAAAAGTTTAAAATAAAGTTTATAATAAAATCTATAAACTGAGCTATGATGTTAAACTGTGAGGGTTTCTTTCTCGTGAGAGATGTGAAAATATATATACACTGTGAGTTTTCGTTTGTGTGTGTTATTTTAATAATAAGATATATCTTGTTTCAGACTTTCAACGCTTTCTTATATGTCTCAATGCTCCACAAAGGCACAAGCCAGCAGTAGCATATCTTGCTCACAAACATTTTCATTTAGTAATGTTGAATTTTATGACAAACCTCTCCTTGCATTATGTGGAATAAACGTATGTAACTTTTCTCCTCTGACACTGTGATTTGTTAGGATCTTTGGTAGTAAATAAAGATTTTCACTGTTTTACCTATTTTTATGTGTTTTCTTTGTTTTCCTTTCTGACCGTGCTCAAAATAAAAAATAAAAAAATGACTTTCATAATTAATGGGGCTTGCGAAGCAAGAGTCCCCACTTTAAATCTTCAACATACAGTGAGGGAAAAAAGTATTTGATCCCCTGCTGATTTTGTACGTTTGCCCACTGACAAAGACATGATCAGTCTATCATTTTAATGGTAGGTTTACTTGAACAGTGAGAGACAGAATAACAGCAAAAAAATCCAGAAAAACACATGTCAAAAATGTTATAAATTGATTTGCATTTTAATGAGGGAAATAAGTATTTGACCCCTCTGCAAAACATGACTTATACTTGGTGGCAAAACCCTTGTTGGCAATCACAGAGGTCAGATGTTTCTTGTAGTTGGCCACCAGGTTTGCACACATCTCAGGAGGGATTTTGTCCTTTGCAGATCTTCTCCAAGTCATTAAGGTTTCGAGGCTGACGTTTGGCAACTCGAACCTTCAGCTGCCTCCACAGATTTTCTATGGGATTAAGGTCTGGAGACTGGCTAGGCCACTCCAGGACCTTAATGAGCTTCTTCTTGAGCCAGTCCTTTGTTGCCTTGGCCGTGTGTTTTGGATCATTGTCATGCTGGAATACCCATCCACGACCCATTTTCAATGCCCTGGCTGAGGGAAGGAGGTTCTCACACAAGATTTGGCGGTACATGGCCCCGTCCATCGTCCCTTTGATGCAGTGAAGTTGTCCTGTCCCCTTAGCAGAAAAACACCCCCAAAGCATAGTGTTTCCACCTCCGTGTTTGACGGTGGGGATGGTGTTCTTGGGGTCATAGGCAGCATTCCTCCTCTTCCAAACACGGCGAGTTGAGTTGATGACAAAGAGCTTGATTTTGGTCTCATCTGACCACAACACTTTCACCCAGTTCTCCTCTGAATCATTCAGATGTTCATTGGCATCTGGCAACTTCAGACGGGCCTGTGTATGTGCTTTCTTGAGCAGGGGGACCTTGCGGGCACTGCAGGATTTCAGTCCTTCACAGCGTAGTGTGTTACCAATTGTTTTCTTGGTGACTATGGTCCCAGCTGCCTTGAGATCATTGACAAGATCCTCCCATGTAGTTCTGGGCTGATTCCTCACCGTTCTCATGATCAATGCAACTCCACGAGGTGAGATCTTGCATGGAGCCCCAGGCAGAGGGAGATTGACAGTGCTTTTGTGTTTCTTCCATTTGCGAATAATTGCACCAACTGTTGTCACCTTCTCACCGAGCTGCTTGGCGATGGTCTTGTAGCCCATTCCAGCCTTGTGTAGGTCTACAATCTTGTCCCTGACATCCTTGGAGAGCTCTTTGGTCTTGGCCATGGTGGAGAGTTTGGAATCTGATTGATTGATTGCTTCTGTGGACAGGTGTCTTTTCTACAGGTAACGAGCTGAGATTAGGAGAACTCCCTTTAAGAGTGTGCTCCTAATCTCTGCTCGTTACCTGTATAAAAGACACCTGGGAGCCAGAAATCTTTCTGATTGAGAGGTGGTCAAATACTTATTTCCCTCATTTAAAATGCAAATCAATTTAAAACATTTTTAACATGCGTTTTTCTGGATTTTTGTTGTTGTTTTTCTGTCTCTCACTGTTCAAGTTAACCTACCATTAAAATTATAGACTGATCATGTCTTTGTCAGTGGGCAGACGTACAAAATCAGCAGGGGATCAACATCTTTTTTCCCTCACTGTACTTCTTCTTCTTATTATTTGGAACGCTACTCCCCTTACACCGTTTAATCTAGAAATGCCATTCAAAATGTAAAACGTGTAGACTGGTCTGGATTGAGTTGCTTACATACAACTTTCTTAAATATATTTTATACTTTCTAAACTATTACACTTTTTTCCATGGGATTTTTTTCAGTGTTCTAAAGGCCCCATTATGACATCATCACTTCCAATAAGTAATCAATAGGTAAGCTGTTTTAGCCACCGTTCAATGGCTTTCTGTATAGATGCAGTAAGTCATGTCAGAAGCTAGCAGATTCAATACTTACCAACAAATTCCAATAAAACTACATCACGTTTTGAAGTTCACTTTCCTTGCTTTGCTAACATACTGTCATTAATCTAGCAAATCCTTTTTGTGGGTCAGAGTGCAGTATTTATTTAGTTTCCTAGCACAAACGTTTGTTAGCATGTGTCTCACACTGGCTTTAGCCATGGAGGGAGCAGGGTTGCCAAGGCAACTGTTGCCTAGCAACTCGTGCCTCAGAGGTAGACAACTTCTTCATAGGCAACAAATTCCCATGATTTGTGAATCTGTTTTGGACCGAACAGCGAGCGCTAATATTTCTAATGCTACCCCGGTCTGGATGACCTGTAATGATACAGAGAAGATTTGTAATGATCACCAGCTTCGTCCTCATTCTCTCGACCCATGTTCTAAATAACTCAACTGGCTAGTTTGTCTGTCTGTAAAGAGAAGAGCGGGCTGTACGTTGATACTGCTGCTCTGCTTGGATAGAGTGAAGCTTTCTCCGTTCACTCGCTTCATATTTCACCAGATCACTTCTCATCGCACTTCTTTCAGTTTTCATACGCAACAACTGTAGTTTAGACACTAAACACAACCACACAACTATTGATCGCACAACTTCTGAACCACACAACTACTGACCACAACCACACAACTATTGACCGCACAACTTCTGAACCACACAACTACTGACCACAACCACACAACTATTGACCGCACAACTACTGAACCACACAACTACTGACCACAACCACACAACTATTGACCGCACAACTACTGAACCACACAACTGCTGACAACAACCACACAACTATTAACCACAACTACTGACCACAACTCCTGACCATAACTACTGACCACAACCACACAACAACTGACCACAAGCACAAAACTACTGACCACAACTACTGACCAAAACTGACCACTAATCACCACGACTACTGAATACAACTACTGACCACATACTACTGAACCACACATTACTGACCACAACTAATGACTAAAACTACTGACCACAATCACAACCACACAACTACTGACCACACAACTACTGACCACAACCACACAACTACTGACCACAACCACACAACTAGTGACCACACAACAACTGACCACAAGCACAAAACTACTGACCAAAACTGATCACTAATCACCACGACTACTGAATACAACTACTGACCACATACTACTGAACCACACATTACTGACCACAACCACACAACTACTGACCACAACTACTGACCACAACCACACAACTAGTGACCACACAACTACTGAACCACACAACTACTGACCACAACCACACAACTAATGACCAAAACTACTGACCACAATCACTGACCACAACTAATGACCAAAATTACTGACCACAATCACTGACCACAACTACTAACCACAACCACATAACTACTGACCACAACCACACAACTACTGACCACAATGCGTCATGGGTACTTCCGGTTTGAGCTTCTGTTTGTAAACA